TGACGAAGTGGCCAGTTAAAATTAACTGCAAGAGAAAGAAGTATTCTGATAGAGTTAATTTTAGCAACAGGAGCAAAAGTCTCTTGGTAGTCTATACCATGAGTTTGGGTAAATCCTTTTGCTACGAGTCTTGCTTGTATCTCTCCACACTTCCGTCAGCCTTGCACTTCACTATAAACACCCATTTGCACCCGACTGTCTTCTTGTCATAGGGTAGATCAGTAATACTCCACGTATTACTTTTTCTAAGAGCATTCATCTCTTCCATCACAGCTAACCTTCATTTCGGATCATCTAATGCTTCCTGAACAGTTCTTGGCACATACAGATTAGAAATCCTAGACACAAATGCTTTATGAGTATGTGGTAATTTTTCATATGACAAGTATTTTGCAATAGGATGTTTTGTGCAAACTCGGGTACCTTTTCTTAATGCAATTGGAATGTCAAGATTTGAAGAGGACAGATTAGGCAAATCATTAGATAAAGACGAAATAGGGGTAGAAGAAGGATTACTCTGAGTTGTAGGACCTTCACTCGGCAAATTGGATTGGACTTCTGCTATAGGAACAACTGGAACAGTAGTACTTTTGTGAAACCTCTTCCTGGTATAAAACTGAAGATCAGGATGAGGATTGTGATCCGTTTGAAGTACTTCTCCCCCTGTCTCTGATAACATAGTATCTAGAAATTTTAGATTAAGAGTACTATCACTAGGTTCCATTTTTTCAACAATTGTTTCCTAAACTTGCTTATCAGAATTAATCAAAGGTATAAATTCTTCTAGAATAGGTAAAGTTTCCCAAAAATTATCTTCCTTATGTTCTCCCCCTGAAGAGAATTTTTTTGAAAGAAAGGTTGGTCCTCAACAAAGTGTACATCCATACTCTCAAAAAATTTCTTTGTAACTGGATTAAAGCATTTGTACCCTTTTTTATTAGATGCATAACCAAGAAACACACATTTTTCAGCTTTTGGATCTAGTTTTGATCGAAAAGTGTTTGGTATATACACATAACAAACACAACCAAACACTTCTAAAGGAAGATCCGTAGTTATTCGAGATGTGGGAAAACAATTTTTCAGATTCTGTAAAGGAGTTTCATATTTTAAAACTCGAGATGGCATTTTATTTATCAGGTAACATGCAGTTAGGAGTGTATTTCCCCAGAGATATTTAGGTACATTCATAGAAAACATGATGGCTCTAGCTACCTCAAGAAGGTGCCTATTTTTTCTTTCAGCAATTCCATTCTGTTGTGGTGTGTCACAACAAGCTGATTGATGGATAATACCTTTTTCGGTTAGAAATGCTCCCAAGTATTTGTTAAAGTATTCAGTCCCATTATCTGATCTTAGAATACCAATTTTGGTTTGAAATTGATTTTCAATCATTAGGAAAAATTCTTTAAATCTTTGTTCAACCTCTGATTTCCTTTCCAACAAGTAAACCCAACATATCCTTGTATGGTCATCAATAAAAGTCACAAACCATTTTTTTCCAGAAAGTGTGTTAACCTTAGATGGGCCCCAAACATCACTATGTAACAAATAAAATGGTTTTGAAGCAAAATAAGGTTTTATTGGAAATAAAACACGATGATCTTTAGCCAAATGACAAGCCTCACAATGAAGTTTTGACCAATCAACTCCTTTAAACAATTTAGGAAACAAATGTTTGAGATATGGAAAACTAGGATGCCCTAATCTTCTATGCCATAATATAACTTGATCACAGACAGGGATTGAACTCGTACTACTTAAACCATGAACTTTTTTATTAGCAGTAGCGGTTTCATCAAAGTAGTAGAGTCCATTTATCTCTCTAGCAGTTCCAATCGTCTTCCCCGAGTTCTGGTCCTGAAAAACACAAGTGGAAGGAAGAAAAAGAATGGAGCAGTTAGTATCTTTCGACAATCTGCTGACAGAAAGAAGATTGCAAGCAAGTTTTGGAACATGTAAAACAAATTTAATAGTAATTTTTTCTGAAATTTTAATGTTTCCTTTGCCTGCAATAGATGAAAGACTACCATCAGCTATTCTCACTTTTTCAATACCAGAACAAGGATAATAGGAACTAAATAAGTTAGAGCAACTTGTCATATGATTGGAGGGCCCTGAATCTATGATCCAAGGACCGGATTTTCCTAGAATTGAGAGTGCCAAAGAATTGCTACCTGTTTGTGCCATAGACCCRAYARGAGTATTAGGTGACGAATAGGATTTTAGAAGTTTAAGAAGATGATCTATTTGCTCTTTACTGAATGGGGATGATTCAACCTCGTTTGCTGTAGGTATATTCTGTTCACCAGGTTTGTTCGCCCTCCAATTGGATGGTCTCCCGTGTAGTTTGTAGCAATTCTCTCGGGTATGGCGAGGTTTTCCACAGTAATCACAGTGTAGGTTATTCTTGTCTCCAACCCGCTGATTTTGGGCTGACTTTCGACTGACTTGGGCCTTGGAAATAATCAGGGCTGACCCTTCCACAAGTCCGGTTGTACCTACAGCTTTCTTTCCAAGCATCACTTGTCTCCGGCTTTCTTCTCTGCGTACTTCTGCAAATACCTCATCGATTGGGGGCAGAGGGTTTCTTCCAATAATTCGGCCACGAACCTCATCGAATTCAACGTTTAAACCTGCAAGAAACTTGAAGACTCGGCCAACATTCACCATCTTCTTGTAATAATTGCAGTCATCGGGTGACTTCCACTCGTA